AATTGGCATATAACATTGAATGAAGCAAGAAATATTTCAAAACATATCTATTTTTTTTTCCTTTTCAATGGTATTTTAATGTCTCTGTGACACTGGTATCCGGTGGTCACAAGTACTCAGTGGACCCATAGTAAGTGGGAAAAGTATTTAAATTTATGTCTCCTGCTTTCGCCAAAGCGAGGGTAACTCGATCTCATTCGTTTGTCAGTCTATATAAAAACTCTCCTGGAACATAACTTTTGAATGAGAGAAGATAGGGCTTTCATATTGCACTTGTATATACCTGTGACGAGACCTTTCCAAATGTACTATGGTTTTGACCCCTTGTTTCACCTACATTTCAACAATTTTAATTTTAACATTTTTAAATGAAAGAAGATTGGGCATTCATATTTGACATATACATTACTTGTGACAACAGATTTCCGAATGAACTATGGTTTTTGACCCCATGACCTTGCAGAACTTTTCAAAATATTTAACATTGGTTATAACTTTGATAGAGCTTTTGTATTTCACACTTATTTTCCTACATATTCTTATGTAAAACTTTGAATACTTTTTATGGCCTCACCCTACCCCAGGGGGTCATGATTTGAACAAACTTAAATCTACACTACCCGAGGATGCTTCCATATAAATATGACTAAACATGAATTTGCTGTTGTTGAGAAGAAGACTCAACTGCCGCTAGGGTTCGATGAAAAGAACGATAACCCATTACCGGAACTTGTTTAGAGCGGGTCCGAGGAAGCTAATTGTTTTTAAGGATGTCAAGTTTTAGCATTTCCCAAGTGCTCCTTCACTGACAGGGAAATCCAGTTGTTTTAAAATTTAGTTCAAATGTTCAACTCAATTATCATGTAGTTATAGACACTGTACAATAATATATAAGTGAAATTTTTAATAAAAATATAAAGTGAAATCCATCCCCCTTCTTAATTTTGATCTGATTAAATTTTTATATTTGATCGTTCTTCTTCGTGCTTAGTGGAAAGCATAAGATAATTTATTGTTGCATTTAATTGTAGAAATATTTATCTTTATAGATGAAGCACAACAATGCACAAACAAAAAACATAGCATTATATTTTCTTCTCCATAACAACTGTTAGGGAGATTTAAAAATCTTGAATATAGTCCGTTCCCCATTCATTGATCCCGTTATTCCAGGTATAGAGTGAAGGCATTCTCCTTGTTTTGGTCAACCCTTTTGTGTACCAAAGAATATAAGGAACCCCTTTGTGTACATAACAATACCAATTGAAGCAGCCTATATGTCATTCCTATAAACGATAACTCAAAATTCGGTACTTTGTTGGTCATGTTTTACATTTGAGTTACCTGTCCTTAAAACACCAAATCGTACAAATCAAATATTAATAATTAATTTTTTTTATGATTTAATCAAAGGTATGTATAGGTTATAATCTTTTTTAAGAATTTCATGTACCTACAAATATATCTATCAATTGTTTTTTACCATATGTATAACTTGAAAAATTAGTTGAAAGGCCTACTTAAAGATTTCTTTGTATGTATTCCTATATAAAACTTTTATTGCTTATTCTTGCCCCATTCTACTCCCGGGGTCATGATTTAAACAAACTTGAATCTACACTACCTGCAGATGCTTCCTTCTAAATTTAACTAATCATGGTTTACTGTTCCTGGGAAAAGATTTTTAAACACTTCTCCTATATTCCTATGTTAAACTTTCATTTCCCATTTCTGATACACCCTACACCCAGGGGGTATTGATTTTGACAAATTTCAATCTACACTACTTCCATTTCAACATGACTGACCATGGCTTTGCTGTTTTGAAAAGATTTTAAAGATATTTCCTACATATTCCTATGTAAATCTTTTACCCCTGTTAAGGCTCCGTCCCACCCATGCTTCTACATAAAAATGATATGTTCATATCACGACCCCTGGGGGTAGGGCGGGGCCACAACAGGGCTCAAACTTTTATATAAGAAATATCTTTTTTATATTTTATTGTTTTCTGACTATAGATAATAAAGGCCTATTAACAACCAAATTGTACGACAAACGAGATGACTTCAGCTTTTCCATTGTCAGCTTTCTTTCTTTATGTAGTAATATTCCGCTATCACCTGCATGGTGTTTACTAGTATGTCTCCCAACAGATTCGCTATACAAAAGCATGCTCTCTATCCGATTAATTTTTAAACTGAGGCAAGCTACAAACAAATAAGTTGATATAACAAGGATCTCATCCCCGTTCAAAGTAACTATTTCGGAAATTTTACAGTCTTTATAATGATCTTGCTTGTTAATACTACCCTATCGGTTTTGTCTGACGTTTCATACCATTTGTTAGGTCACGCTTGTATACTTACATTGACTACAGAGTACTTCGTCTATCTTATCAATACCTAGGGCTCATGCCGGTGTGATCGGTCGACAGGGGATGGTTACTCCTCCTAGGCACCTAATCCCACCTCTAGTGTTTCCGGGGATCATTGTTTTTGCCCTGATCATTATTCGATTTGTTACATGTAGATCGCCTGGGTCATATAGCTGACCTATTGCTCTTGGTTCTCTGTTCCGTCGTGCGTTAACATTCGAACATTTCTGCTTCTTTGGAACCGATGAACCAATTTTGCCATATGTGTTCTATGGGTAAAAGGGGACAAAACTTTTGAATTTCACGATCCACACCACATTTGTAATGTACATTGTAATGTGCATTGAACCCTTTACGAAAATTGAGGAATAAATGGACCAAGGGTCAGGGACTCAGCAAACAAACTTAGATGGTTATGATACTAGTAAGCAAGGATTCGTCTTCCAAAATTGTATAAAGAATTAAACAAGAATTTAATATATCCTTCTATCCATCCATCTATCCTTCAGTATTCAGTGAAAAAAGAATTAGATGGATTACACGATCAGTACGTACTGGTCCCTGATGACAAAGCAGGTAACAACATTGTCTTTGTTTGTAAGGCTCATTATATAAATTTTATTTTAGAAGAACTTGGATTTAATTCTACAAGTGGTAATCCAACTTACACCCACAGCTCCCTTTCTAAGGAGGAAATTCTTCAAAATCATATGTCAGTTTTGAATATTTTTAATATTTCCAACTACCAAAATGAATTTAAATTACCATATCTATATTGGATTCCGAAACTTCATAAAAATCCTTACAAAGATACATAGCGGGTTCCAGTAAATGTTCTACCCAGCCTCTTTCTTTACTCCTCACTAAGATATTAACAGAAGTGAAGGAGAAACTTTAAGAGTACTGTGCAACAATATATTCGAGAAGTGGTGTAAATCAGATGTGGATCCTAAAAAATTCCAAGGAACTTTCGGAACATTTGAAATCACAAAATTTTACCAAAATCAACAACATAAAAACTTACGACTTTTCAACTTTATATACAACTATTCCCCACGATAAATTAAAGTCCAGACTTTCTGACATCGTTGCCAGCTGCTTTTTCAATGAAAATGGAACTCGTATATTTACTTACCTTGTCATTGGTCATTTGCAAAATTACTTTGTTAAAAAACAATCTGATTGTACACACAAGTACTCTGAAGTTGACATTAAAAAGATGCTCGAGTTTCTGATTTACAATATCTTTGTGGTTTTTGGAGACCAGGTCTTCCAACAATCTATTGGAATTCCCATGGGTACCAATTGCGCCCCGTTATTAGCAGATCTATTTTTGTATTCATATGAAGCAGAATTTGTTCAAAATCTTTTACGTGAAAAGAAGAAAACACTTGCTGTGGCCTTCAACTCGACATTTAGATATATCGACGACGTATTGTCAATTAACAATGGTTATTTCCATTCTTATGTCTACACGATATATCCGGTGAGCTTGAGATAAAAGATACCGCAGAGTCTGACGTATCTGTTTCATATTTGGATATTTTATTAGAAAAAGACGTTAATGGTAATCTAACAACAAAGCTTTATGATAAACATGATGACTTTAACTTTTCAATCGTCAACTTCCCTTACTTATGCAGCAATATACCCTTATCACCTGCATACGGGGTTTATATCTCTCAGTTGATTTGATACGCCAGAGTATGCTCTACGTATGAAAAATTTCTAAAACGAGGTAAGTTGTTGACTAACAAGTTGATGAAACAAGAATATCAGCTGTCTCGTTTAAAGTCATCATTTCGTAAGTTCTATGGTCGATACAATGACCTTGTCAGCAAATACAATGTATCATTAAGTCAAATGCTGACTGACTTGTTTCATACTAATTGTTAGGCCATTATTTACACACTGAATTGTCGACGGACTTTTCCGTTATTCCCCGATCATGACAAGGAGCACACGGCGGGTGTGACCGGTTGGCAGGGGATGCTCACTCATCCATGGCACCTGGTGCCGCCTCTGATGTCTTAGAGGTCCGTGTTTGTTCTGCTCCTATTTTGAAATGTTTAATGGACTTTTGAGCTCGAATACTGTTCGTTATCTCCACATATTTCACTTAATATATAATAGAAAAGTGTTTTGATAGTTTTTAATGGTAGGCTTGTAAATAAGAGAAAAATAAAAATGAGACAAAAATACCTCTGACATCTTTGTACATTATATATTCTTCAAAGACGAAGAAAGACCAATGTGTCAGATTTACTCCATATTCTCAAGCACTACTTAATTGTTTAGTCTGCATATTGATAGTGACAAATGGGAATGTATTTTTTCTTGGTAGTAAGAAGAATTACTTTCTGATCTATAATGGAGTACTAGATTTCATGTAACTATTCTGTTGATCCATGATTGTCATATTTCTCTTATTTTGGGCAACACATCTTCATCTCTCAGTTTATTTTGTTTTATTTCGTACTTTAAAGGATCCTTTACAGTGTTGTATTATACTCAGGTGACCAGTAAGGCCCTTGGGCCTCTTGTTTCATTCGTTAGTGTCACCTTTAACATTATCAGCAAACCTGGAAAATGTATTTGCAAATAATGACAAACTATCATCAAGTAGTGGTAAAGTTTTATCATAAAATAATAATGTGTGAAAAAAATGAGAATGTATAAGAGTATTATAAGCTTTCACCATGTAGTATTGTACATATAGAGATAAAAAAATCATCACAATAAAAATTGTCCATTTAATAGACGAAAGGTATTCCATAGAAATTGGTAATCTTGACGACTTTTGTCCGCTGTGCCTGGATTATGTAGTGATACAATAGCGACTTTCAGCAACAAGTATAAAATATATTCATATAATGATGATTATGATTGACAGAATGACACATGGAATGACGGGTCCATTTCAAGGTTGTGGAGTATCAAAACAGGATTGAAACTTTTACAATAATATTGATGTATCAGTCCTTCTTTTGCATTTCTGGAACCCAAACAGAATAGACAGACCAATAAACGATGTTAAAACAAAGGAAAACTAGAGGAAATATAATTCTAGACAATTTATCGACACGTCTCGCTTCGTCTCGACATTTGCTGTCTAACTGCGTCTTCTCTTTGCTATCATCTTCCTGCAAACAAGAAATCATTTATCAGGATTGATAGAATTCAGTACAATGTAATGGTGGCTTGGTTCGATATTTACTGCTACGGCACTGTACATTATCAGAGAAGAATCCGAATATTCAAGATGGGGAAAGGCATGTTTAAATGAGAGTAGACACCAAAAATTTAAGAAACAAATTCTACATAATTATCTATCGGTAAAACGAAAAATGATTTAGTATAAAGTAAATTATTTATCCTCGAACTATCTAGTTTAATACAACACTGAATATTGTACATGTGCAAAAAAGCAAGCCTTGTGAAAGATATATTTCACTTACACATAATTAAAAAAGAAAGAAATGAATTCAATTTGTCATAATGAGGCAATTCATGCTGTCATTTCAAGAAGCGCATGAGCGCGTCATCATATAAGGCGTAAAGGATTGTAGATCATATACTTAATAAATTTTCAAAAAAAAAAGAAAAGATTTTGATAAAAGTATGTCTTCTTATTCTTTCACAAGGCCTTCATAACGGGTAGGATTACATCCCCCTTTTAAAACCCCTTGAAAAAATAACGTTTGAAACAAAAATTAATTATTTATTTGCTTAAAGTAATGCTGCTTTCTTGAGTTTATTTAAAGAATGCCCACAAAAATTATACTCATTCATAAAATAACTGATTCTGAGGAGGGGATTACGGCTTCTAGATGCTCCTCCATCCCCATCTTTTACAAAAACTAGCGACGGCTTTGAGTTTCATTATTTGTATGACAGCTGACCTAAAATTGTGTCATTCAACATCAAGTTTTTTGTACGGTTACTAGTATACACGTCACAGAGGAGATATTAATCGTCATCCATGCGAGCTCAGGAAAAATTGAGTCGCATTTCTATTTGTAAAGAATAAAATGGTAAAACAATTGAATATGAAATATAAACATTTTTCCAAACATAATATATGGACTTCTTTCCCATCAGGAGTATAAGAAAATAAAATCCTGCACAAATACATGTATGTATAACTTGATAAATTATGTCATAAATACATGTACATATGTATATCACAATTCGAAAATTTAGTAAATTTTCTCTTAAGAGCAGTACACCATAAATTTTCTGCAAAATGACAGAAAACTGCATACATGTACACTGTAGTAGGTAAGTTTAGTTGAAAAAGCTGATTGGTTGTGGAAAAAAATTGTTAAAAGTGTTGAACAGAGGACAAAAACAACAAATGACCTTAATCACTTCATTGACCTGAAAAATTACAACTTCTATAAAATGTTAAATGGAGAAATTGTGTCCATTCTGTTCATTTGCACATTGGCCATATTGGAGCTACATTGTACAATGGTGACATATTTTAGAGAAAATACAACAATTTGCAAATCTTTATATTCTTACCATTTCAGATCAATTTCTTCCGTTGATGGTTTGATATTTTATATATCTTATACCGAAAATGACAAGATTGTTCACATACCAAAGTGAAAGTTGCGACCGCCTTTTTTGATTTGAAAAGCGAGAGTACATTGTTTTACTGAAGGAAAGCGCACAGAAATATCGTTTGTATGATTTCTTAGGAATATTAAATATAGGTTTCACTGAATCTTTTATAACAAATTTTACACATCCACTCCACAGACTTCGCCAAGAAGTGAAGAGATATTGAAGAAGTCAAGATAAAATTTACACGTATATTGCCTTTTGCTTGGAAATTGTATATTGTGACCAATATCTCAACCTTTAAATCACTGGCCCAAACTTTTTCTTTCTTTATTTTAACCATATCGATATTTATTACTGATCGGCACTTAAGTCAAAAGTCATAAAAATCGTGATACAAGAAAATATTTCATTGCCTGTTTAGATTTTAAATGCCCCAAACATGGTATTTTTTTAGTGCGAAAAGGTCATACTATAATTTTGGCTCAATAATTTGTAAGATTCCTTCTTTTAATGATATTATTCAAACCATTTTACATAAAATAAGATTATATTTATTACCATGATTAAACCTGGCTAAATTTGATAAAGGTTAAAGTAATGAACTTAAAAGTTGCAATTTAAGTGCAAATAGGTCAAATTAATTGTACCATTGCTCAGTAGGATGCACACTGACCCCCTATTTTCTTTGCAATTTTTTGCAAAAATAAAAATCCTTGACATAACTTATGTCTTGGCTGACATGCCTTAAAAATACGGTATCGATCATGAGTTGTCAACTGTTAATCACCCAAGACTCTACCCATATAACTAAGTCGTAGGCTGGAAAAAACAAGATGTGTTTGTGAAACTCAGATTCCCCCGCATGTCAGTTGATGGCGAATGTGTAAATTTCTCAAATACAAGTCAAACTCCCAAGGTCAAGAAAACAATTAAAAACTGTTGGGACACAAGGACAGGTTGTCAAAAAAAAACATGCGAAATATAAAAGCCCTAGCACCAACTGTTCAAAAGTTATGACCAAGGTTAAATTTTTTCAATAGATGGTCAAACTCCAAGGCCAAAATTGTTGGTACCCAGGAGAAAGTCTTTTCACAAAAAATACACGTGAAATATGAAAGTCCTGGTACCAACTGTTCATAAGGTACGGCCAAGGTAAACGTTTTTTTTTTTCAAAAGTAGGTCAAAATACAAGGTCTAAGGGTCAAAATTGTTGGTACGCAAAGGAAGGACTTGTCACAAGGAATACACCTGTGAAATATGAAACCGTAGCACCAACTGTTCAAAAGAATGCTTTCAAAATTAGGTCAGACTCAAAGGTCAAGGTCAAAATTGTTAGTGCCCAAAGAAAGGTCTTGTTACAAAGAATATACATGTGAATTATGAAATTCTTAGTACCGACCGTTCAAAAGTTATGACCAAGGTTAAAGTTTTTCAAAAGTACGTCAAATTCAAAGCCCAAGGGAAGGCCTTATCACAAGAAATATACAGATGAAATATGAAAGCCCTAGTACGAACCGTTCAAACGTTATGGCCAAGGTTAAAGTTTCTGAAAAGTGGGTAAAATTCCAAGGTCAAAGACAAGAGGTCAAAATTGTTGGTACCAAAGGGAAGGTCTTATCACAAGAAATACACCTGTGAAATATAAAAGCCCTAACAACAACTATTGAAAAGTTATGGCCAAGTTTAAAGTGTGGTAAAATTTTGCAAAAGTGGATCAAACTCCAAGGTCAAGAGGTCAAATATTTTGGTCCCCAAAGAAAGGTCTTCTTACAAGAAATACACATGTGAAATATGAAAAGCATAGGTCTAACTAATCAAATGTAATGGCCAATGTTAAAGGTTTTGCAGACAAACAGACAGACGGGTGGACAGAGAAAAAACTATATGCCCCCGAATTTTCGATTACGGGGCATAAAAACAAAATGAACCGGGCGTACAGGTTTTGAAATTGAAAGAAATGGAATTTCGAGATTATCCAGGATCTTTTGAATATTAATAAGTAAAACATGTGGAAGAAATCTCATGAACAAGCTGCACACCTTTTCTCCATATGATTGATTGATTGTATGTTGTTTAACGTCACATTCGAGAATTTTTCACTCACATAGAGACGCCACCATATACCGATGAAGGGCTTTAAATTTTGACCTTTACTCGGCACTCAGGGCCATTGAGCAGTGAGGGATCTTTATCGTGCCAACGGCTACCGTGACACGGGGCCTCAGTTTTAAAGGTCTCATCCGAAGGACCCGCAACTTTCACTTCAAAGTGCCGAGCGCATTGCAAAGGAACAGTTGCAACCCATTATTTATCGACTTAGGTCAGTCGCGGCCGAGATTCGAACTCACGACCTCCCGGTAACGGAGCGAGCGCTCTACCGACCGAGCTACCGTGAACGTGTTTTTTTTTCTCTCCATATGAGACAATAATTTAATGTTTATTCCGCAAACATATTTGGTCGCCCGCGTGGCGCAGTGGTTAGAGCGTCTGCTCTAGAGTCGCGGAGTAAGGAGTTGATCCTTACGTCGCGGGTTCGAATCCCACTGTGGGACGTGGAGACCGGTCCTTCGGATGAGACCGTATAAACCGAGGTCCCGTGTCGCAGTAGGTGCAGGCACGAAAAAGATCCCTCACTGCTCAATGGCCGTAAGTGCTGAGTATAGGACAAAATTTGCAGCTCTCCACCGGCAAGTGGTGGCGTCTCCATATGAGTGAAAAATTCTCGAGAGGGACGTTAAACAACATACAAACAAACAAAGCAAACATATTTGTTTTGCTTAATATCCCTTGAAAAAAAAATTATGCCACTGTTGTTGGTAGTGCATAACTGTAAATCGCCATTAAGCTTCTTGATTTTCTGCAACATGGGGCCTCGGTTTATTTGGTTTCACCCGAAGGACCAGTTTCCAGTAGAATTCTAACTCGAAACGTAGGGACCAAGTCCTTACCTCACGCATCTAGAATAAAATTCTCTAACCAAAGGGCCACGAGGGCGACAATTTAAACTAAAAAAAATAATCTATTTAGAAAATTCCTAAACATACAGTACCTTTCTATGCAGAAGAAGGGGTAACTCCTTCACAGAAGACTTCCTTCGTTGTTGAACCCTTGCCTTTACATTAACGTAAGAAAATTCAATCAGAGCAGCAAAAACGAACACTAAGCATGTTGCCATCCAGACGTCTATAGCTTTTATGTAAGATACGCGTGGAAGGGTGGCACGTGCTCCAGAGCTCTGAGTCGTCATTGTAAGAATAGTCAACAAACCCAAGGAAATTCGGGCTGGAATTGCGTCAATATTCAGCCAAAATGACACCCAAGACAAGCAGACGATAAGAAAACTTGGGATGTACACTTGTGTAATATAGTATCCATACGCACGGCTCATCTCGATGTCAATACCCAAACATGTAAAAGTAACTGAAAATAAGTATAAATCGTATCTCAAACACTTCACACAAAAAGATCATAAGCCACACCGCTCACATGAATAACCTTGTCCCTGTTGTTATTCGAAACATTTTTTTCCCCTCTACATTCCATGAAAATATTTTGACCGGATATTGTGACCACTTCCTTGCTCCAAGGCTTTATGGCTTAACTAACATGAAAGTACAACATAAGATGCTTCAATATTGATATGGCTAACATGGCCTTGCTGTTCTTGAAAAGAGGATTGTTTTGTTTGTATTTATGCAATAAAAAATCACGATATTACTGTACACCAATAAAATCGCACATCCCTAAACTGTCCCTGGGTCCAGTGAGGGATCTTTTACGTGCCAGCACCTACTGCGACACGGGACCTCGGTTTATACGGTCTCAACCGACCTCTCTCCACGTCCCACAGTGGGATCCGAACCCCATGAACGGATAAACGAGCCGAAAATCGGTCATTTTCTACTGATAAAGATGTTGCCAGGATTACCAAAAAACGACTTTTTGTGTGAAATTCTTTCACAGCAGTACTTAATCTAACTTTGGGTTTTACTTCATTCAAATTTGGTATACTTATGGATTACATTAGATACAGAATTCTGTACAACAATTTTGAATTTTCCCCCCAACATTATTGCCCTGGTTACTGCAATAGTAATCTTTTAAAAAAAAGCAATTGATGAAGTAAAACCTGAAAGTCGAACACGCTTTTCACATTTCAAATAGCTTTCTCCAAAGCTTAAATAGATATGAGATGTGGAGAACCCTAAATCTTCAGACAAAAAAGGTAGGTAAACACGCCTCTATAACATATCGGTCTGAAACGCACTTGCAACATGCATGTAGAAGTCCTGAAATTCTGTCAAAAATTTTGAAGGATATATACTTCAAACCTCTACGTGTCCCTTTAAAATTTCTAATCATGGTCCTACTAGCTTTTAATATTTTCTGAGAAGCTTTCTAAAGATTTTTTTCTACTAGTAATGTATATATACCAATGTTTGCCGTAAATCCGTTTTTTAACACCATCCCTCCTTCTCCAGGGGGATGATTTTAACAAAGTTAAATCAGAACTACCAGAAGATATGTCTAATCATGGACCTGTTGTTCTAGATTTTCCCTATATTTTAGGCCTACCCTTCCCTTTTTCATGATTTGAGCAAGTTTTAGTCTGCACTATCTGAGGCTTGCATATCATCCGAACAAATCATTTCCTAGCCGTTCTGAAGAATAGCTCAAAAGACACAGAAGGATAGCACTCCCCAGGATAAATCCAGAATAGTAGCATCTTCCTCTGATGGTTTTCCCGAGGTTTTGGGAAAAAATATGTTCCAAATATCACCGAAGGTATTTGAAAATTGATATAACGAATCATGGCCCTTCTGTGCCTTAGAAGAAGGTTATTTCTCTGTATTCACATGCATAAAACTTCGATCCTATGTTGAAGCCTTACCCCATATCTGAGATCATAATTTGAACAATTTAAACTATACTTATTAAAGAAGTTGTGACTTCTTTTCTGGCCAAGTGGTTTTCGGGGGAAAATTACTGGTTTGTTTGAACATATTTAATTGTTAAGACGTTAAAACAAAAGGATCGGACATCCTTTAAAACTTTCTAAAAGATACAACCAATTGATCAATATTTATCTCCTCTATAAAAAAAAAGTTGTAAACCTTCATTTTAACTAATCTGATTCCCCTTAAGGAGGGATTCTTCTCATAAGAACCCTTATTTCTTATATTTGAAAATCAATAAAATTTTCACAGAATCAAGAGACAATATCACTAAGTGATGGTATCAGTTATATTAAATTTGACTGTTTTATATTAGAGGCAAGGTCAGGTCAAGGTCAGTACCTTTTCCTTAATAAAAAAATACTGTTGCCAATCATGCGATGCCTACTTCTATTTCAATAAATTAAATGTTTTTTTTCTTTTTGCATAAAGAGACATTACCATATAGGGTCTATAAGATGATGTTACCAAATTGACATAAATAATTTAACTAAAATGGATATTGGCTAATCCGAATTTTGTCTATTTTTCTTAAAATTTTAAGATATTTTAGCTATTTTCATATGCTTCCTATATTTAAATTTTTCTTATTTTCACATATGGTAAAATTTTCAGATAAAGATACAAAATGATATAAAAACAAAAAGTTTTGATCGTTTACCAAGAGAGAAAAAACACTTTTTACGGATTTTTGGCTCAAATCTGAACTTAGATTGGAAGCTTTTAAAAGCTAACATAATTGTAGTTTGTTTGGAAAATCATATTTATTTGATATATTTTAAAACTTTAGTCCCTTTTTATTAATTTAACTTACATTTAAAAAAATTCTCCAAGTCTTTGATTGTGTAAAATTTATAACTAAATTCATTGTTCTTTAATTATTTTTCGAGGCAGAAAAGAAGATATTTTCATACGCCGCCATTCCGCCAAAAAATTAGTCCCTGCTAGATTTCAAACTCAGTTTACCATTTCTATTTAAAGTTGTTCAATTGTGATGAGGAAAGAAAATTAAATATGATCTTTTAAATCTCTTAATCTAAATATATAAGACATATAAGCAATTATACTTTGAATATTTCATCTAGTCAGAAACCAGACAAGAATCCCTCCTTAAGCCAAAGATGTTTTTATGATAAATTTGGTTGAAAATGGCGGGTGGTTCTAGAAAAGAAGTCGAAAGCGTGTTAAGTAAACAGACGGACGAAGGAACAAAACAACAGGTGATCAGAAAAGATTATAGCTCAGATGAGCTAAAAATAACACAATGATAAATATTTACCGGAAGAATTACCGTTAGCGTAAGTGATGTCACATGTATGATTAGATATGTGTCCAATTTCGAACTGTGGCAATGTTAAGTTTGGTCGTTGAACCAGTGGAATGTCATTCCATTGAAACTTGAGAGTGTCTGTGCTGTAACCATCTGTTAAAAAAAACCAAAGAAAATAATTTAGATTTTGGCATTTATTTCCGTATTTAGATTACTGCTGTGGTCATTTTCATAACAAAAAAGTCTATTATTCAGGAAAAACAAGGATAAATGTGATATGTTAATAATTTTCGTTTTGCTTGTTGTGTATAAAGGAAGTAATAAATATTTTTCTTTTAAAAACTGGCAGAAAAAAGACGTCTAAAAACTATAGAAGTGCAGGCTCCTGTAGAGTTATGCCTGAATTCTACCCAGAAACCTAACGACGTGTATTTTGCAAATATATGTCTGGTAAAAACGTTGGAATTACAAAAGTGTTGAATACATTCTAGGAAGTTTTCATAGTACTAAAGAAAATATCAACCAAAACCAAGAGCTATCCTGGTTCACCAAGTAAAAGAGAAGAGGGTCAGATTAAAACAGACTTAAAATGAAGTTTGCATATCTAAAGTGGAAGTATAATTGCTCTTTACAGACTTTTACATAAAATGCTTAGATTCGAGCAACCCATTCAATATTGCCTACGAGACAATACTTTATCTTCGTGAACGAATTTCTACTGCCTATAAGCAATTCCTAGAAATACAATTGTAAGAATGCAAGGGAAACCCTGGGAATATTCTTTGGTTCATTTTTTAAAGTCAAATTACTCTTCACACTGGTATAAAATTCATTTTAAATTCGACAGGCATTAATTCTTTGCCGGGTTATACTTTTTGGATTGTGGTCCATCTGGCCTATGGGCAAACCTAAACCTAGTTCTTAACAAGATATCTCAGGGAAATGATTGACCTACCACTTAATATAACAAGTTTCTTTCTTTTGTAGAATTGAAAAGTGTGGAATTTAAGTAGCAACTTTGAACCTCTTTGACAAAGAAACAGCGTCCACCAGTTTAAAGTATCTTGTTCTGTGTGATTTGAACATTAAGAATATAATTATCTTTTTTTCTCGGAATTTCTGTGATTTTGTATGCAAGTATCAAGTGGCAAAAAATTCCTAGAATTATAGAATGAGAAAAATTCATTACATTCATTGTATGTACAAGAGGTACAAGATCAAGCCATACGATTTGGTGAAAATTCATATGGTTTAGAATATAGGTATAAGTTGAACATGTGAGGAAGGATAAATTGATCAAATTGACTTCTACAATACACTGGATGTTTGTATTTCAGTATGATAGTTGATACACTACATGTATACAACCTAGCCCCTGGGGGCCATGATTTGAACAAACATGAATATATTTTTGATGAAAGGTGTCATAGATATTTTATCGGAATCAAAATTCATTAACCTCAAAGACTAAATAGATAAAAATATATCGAAGTCTGGGAAATGATAAAATTATCTCCATAAAAACACAGTTCCTAGATCTGAAGGGAGATAACTGGATATTTAAACATTCATTCACTTAAATTGTAGGACTTGTATGCGTTCAATACAATAATTTATTTATTGGCGTCCTTGTCCTTCGGACTAATTGTCCCTCGATAGTAGCTAAAGAGTTCATATTTAGCAACTATGGTTATCTTGTTCTCTATGTTACAAGTGCATATCACGTCAAATTCAGAATTTATAGTTCTTTTAAATTTCAATTTAATTTTTCATTTTAGTTTTGTGGGTTGAAGAATCATTGTTACAAATTGTCTACAGATTTTTTCAATTTACCCGATAATAACAAGGAACGCACGGCGGGTGTGACAGGTCGACAGGGAAGTTTACTCCTCAATGGCACTTGATCCCACCTTTGTTTTCAGCGGTCCGTGTATGCTCTGCTATTAATGTGTATTGTTTAAATGGACTCTTCATATTTCATGCGTTTTTTTTTTTTGCATGACTTGCAATGCTATTGTACTTAAGTAAAACATTGACCACAATTTAGGTTTATTTATGTCTGTAATGAAACTATAAAAGGCGGTGCTTATTTTTGGAACAATTCAGATTGTAATCTTGAAGTGTTTGGAACATACTGTAATTTGACCAAAGCCAATTGATGTAATGGTAGATTGTAGGCGCTCCATAATTGTATAATTTGTTTAGTTGATGAAGAATAAATAGTTTTTTATATAATAAAAATTTCAATATTAGTTTTTAAGAATTTTTAAATATGGTAAAACTTTAAACAATGTATGTGATAACGATTTTTAAATGATAACGATAAATGTTATAATTATCTACATGTATATATAATATTTGATATATTATGGCGTGAAAGTATAAACTCTTTATCAGTTTTTAATAATTTTATTAATATTTTCTTTATTTTGACCAAAATTATTAGAAATGATAAATTTCTAATAGATCTATTTGCTCTTCATGATGAGAAAAAAGATCGAATGCATTAAATAATTTTATGAGGGCAGTTTTCTTTTTCAGTGCTGTTGAATATTTGTTAATAGAAGAAAATCATATTAAAATCAACAATTCTATTATTTATATCAAATATAACGACTTTGAACATGACATTTCAGGCACGTAGTAATGGGGGGGGGGGCACCCCCTTTTTTCCAAACTTTTACTGTTGAAAATGTTAATTGAAAAGCCCCCCCCCCCCCTCTACACTTTTTATTGCAGTATGGACAAATCGGGTAATGTATGAGTAAAATGAAGTTATGAAAAAAGTTGAACACACCTTCCACAAAATAGGATTTTATTATTTGAACAATCCCCCCCCCCTTTTTTTTTTGGCTTGTCAGTTTTGTTTTTTTTTTTTCAGGGTAAATTGCAATTTTGTTCTCTGGCTGTCCCCTGCCAACTTTCAAAAGCGATACTGCGTGCCTACATTTAGCAGATGTGAGGTCTACACGGCTTTGGTTTTATAGTTTACAAGCAGTGTTAGCTGCTTATCTTAGAATAACAGAATTTAACGAGTTTTCTTTGAGACTGGGGACAATTAATTCCAAATACAACTAACTTATTTTCCAACAGTTTCATGATTTATTTCAAATATTGAAATCCTTTACAGGATTTTCGTTGTCTCTATCTCTGGTTGTCAAGAAATAAAATCTATGAATTAGTAATTTTTGAAAGTTACTGTAAAAGCCCCCATGGAATTCCCCTGTCAATTCTATTAGCAAGTGTATTTTCCGCTAGCTTTGTATCGAGATGGTAATAAACACTGTTTTTACTAGTCGTAAAGACTATTGTCAAAACAGTTCTGGATGTCAGAAACAACAGAAACAAAGAAACATGCGGTCAGGAGGTCAAGTCGGTCATAATTACGTTTAAGCGCTGCGAGTTAAAGTATAAAGTCTTAAGGCACCTTTACACCTCTCAATGCCCCTCTCAATAATGTTTTTAGAATAATTCCTTTGGAAATACTAACTCAACACCTAGCCTTGAAATGCCAATAAATTGTATGAGGGCATCTGTAATAATTACAATAATTGCTGTTTTTTTTCTAATGAAGTTTACAATTGCCGTTCTTATAAACCTGTCCAATACTTACAACTTTCCATCTGTATTGAGCATGTCTGTTGATCTAGTGGGTATTTGTGTAAGTACATTTGGCAAGAAAATGTCCCTGTTACCCTACAAATAGCATTTTTAAAATATACCTTCATAGGTATTATTTGATTACATGTAAATTTGCCTAAGGTAGAGACATTTGTCCACATTTTCTATATATATACCTCATGCTGTATACAACCAGACCGTCCGGGTATATGTGCATTAATTTATTTGGAACAGTGACTGTATGAGTATTCGCTTTTTTTTCGTTCTTTATATAAAGATCAGGAACCCATACATTGGACATAACACGCGTATCCAACTCGACCTTTGGGATGTCAAGGAGACCTCTGTATGCCAATCTGTTGTCATACCATCTCTGACGAATGAAGAAGCTCATCTTGAAGTCCTGTAATTGAGTTTATAAAAGTTAGGTCGGCTAAAGACATTGTAATGGAGAGGCCCTTGGGCCTTTACGGTCACCAGAATACTATTAGATTTCTTTTAAAAATGAGTCACCTTTATGTAACATGCATATGAAAAGCTTTTATCTATGAAAACTTACGGCCTAAACACTTCTTTCGACGAGTTTTGTTTGTCATGTCTTCCTTAAATCAGCTGTATAAAAAATTGGTAAAATTAATAACCCCCAGATGATCATTTAGTCATAGCTCTCAGGCCCGTAAAACGCGCGGAATGGGGGGGGGGGCAGGGGGCTCGCCCCTCCCCCTTTTTTCTGAGTAAAATAATATTTTGTATTTTGCTTAAGAAATTTTCATTTAGCTGCTTGGTTACCCCTCTCCAGACCCACCCACCCACTTTTTGTTGCTGTAAGGTCGAGCACTAGCAAATTCTCGGATTTGAAAGAAAAATGTTCCAAAAAGAAAGAGAAAGCCCCCCCCCCCTTTACGAAATAGGATTTTCGAGTCTGAACAGTTTATTTTTTATTAAAATTATTGATTGGTGGGGGGGGGGGTGTCAGATTTTATTTTGGAGGCCCCCCCCTTTTATTGGACATTTAAAATCGTTGCTACATGCTTGTTCTGACACATTATATTTCTCCATTTACAAGTTATCACACACTCAAAGTTGAAAACAAATTCTTTTCAACATAAAAGCCAAGTTTTATCAACCTCAACATTCAATTGACATATGTTCTGAATTATATATGTTATAGTCAACGACTTATTGCTCTGCATAATCCTTACAAAAGTGTTCATGTCAGGGCATTTTTTGTTCAATTTACAATTTATTTTTTTTTTAATAGAAAAATATCTGAGACATGAACTAGATTCTCAGGTCACGTGAATTTTATAGTGTTAGGATAAGGGTTATTTGCTCAGTATCTGTAATATAAACATTTTGTCTGCTAGATGCCTATAGCGTAAAAATTGTTTTTCTTCAGTAAATAATGCAACCTGTAGTCAATTATAATCAATATTGACTGTTCGGCCAGAAAGCTAGACCCTAGGATATTAATTTCACAATTTTAAAGATATTTTACTTCTATTCTTCTCAAGAACTACTGGGCCAATTTCAACCAACTTTCCACAAAGTATCCTTGGGTAAGGGGGATTCAAATTTGTTCAAATGAAGGGCCACGCCTTCTTCCTAGGGGAGATAATTATGAATTCGTGAAAAATTATAGGCATCATTTAAAAATCTTCTCAAGAACCACTATCCTTGAAAATATGAAACTTATATGGAAGTATCTTCAGGCAGTGTAGATTCAAATATGTTCAAATCATGACCCCCGGGGGTAGGGTTGGGCCACAATGAGCGATCAAAGTTTTACATAAGAATATATAGGAAAAATCTTTTAAAATCCTCTTCTCAAGAACAGCAAAACCATGATTGGTCATATTCATATGAAAGCATCCTCAGGTAGTGTACATTCAAGTTTTTCAAATCATGACCCCCGCGGGTATTGTGGGGCCACAATGGGCGATCTAAGTCTTACATGGGAATACATAGGAAAAATCTTTAAAAATCTTCTTCTCAATAAAAGCAAAGCCATGATTGGTCACAATTATATTGAAGCATTCTCAGGTAGTGTAGATTCAAATTTGTTCAAATCATGTCCCCAAGGGGTAGGGTTAGGGCCACAAGGGGCTATAAAAGTTTTATATAGGAATACATAGGAAAAATCTTCTTCTTAAGAACATCAAAGGCATGATTGGTCATATTTATATGGAAGCATCCTCAGGTAGTGTAGATTCAAGTTTGTACAAATCATGACCCCCAAGGGTAGGTTAGGGCCACAATGGGCTATAAAAGTTTTATATAGGAATACATAGGAAAAAATCTTTAAAAATATTCTCAAGAAAGCAAAACCATGATAAGTCATATTTAAATGGAAGCATCCTCAGGTAATGTAGATTCAGATTTGTTTAAATCATGACCCCCAGGAGAACAGAGGGGCCATAACAGGGGATCATAGTTATACAAAGGATATATCAATAAAAATTTTCTTCTTAAGAACAGCAAAGTCATTATTTGTCATATTAATTCAAAAGCATCCCTATGAAGTACAGATTTAAGTTAGTTCAAATCACCCCCCTCCCGAACCACTTCATAATGATGCAAAACAGAAAATTCTAAAACCAGACATATACAGAATAATAAATTTACTTCACATTTTTTAAAAACGAAGTTTCAAGGATTTTTTTTCTGAAGTACATGTAAATTAAAACCATATTTAGTCATTCATCTATATATATATATATATATATATATATATATATATATATATATATATATATATAATGTGTTATGTGTTTATGATAAATTACCATTGTACTTGCACTGATGGAGTCTATCCCCAGAATGTACAGTTGGATGGTGTTAAGAACAGGGTCATCTACAAAGAGAAAAGATTCATGAGTATGTTCAAACGTATAGATACAATAATTCAAAAATTTTAAAAAATGTTTTCTTTGTGATTTTGGCTGCCAGTACTTCTTAACTGCTATTTTTTTTAAATTTCTTTCCCAAATTGTTAATGTTGTCGTTAAAGTATACTAGTATAGGCCAACTTGACAATTGAAAATAGTCTCATTAACTAAAGTGCATTTGAAACACCACAGACTGTTCTAGTGTGATGTTAATTTATTCATTTTAAAAGTAAACCAAATAAATTATTACATGCCTTTTATCCTTTGATTTTTGAAGAGCGACTTTTAATTACTGTCATTCATCCAAGAGGAGAACAATGCGCACTCGACTTTTAAAAGAAATTCTTGTTTCTGCAGGAAAAACTTAAAGCATCAGAAAATTGCACGAAACCCTCAAATTTAGGAGAATGATCGTGTTTACGTCCATTAGCTAATTAAATTTAAAAAAGACCGGATCCCTATACACGTGTTACTTTTTACTGTGAAAATGGATTGGAGCGTGATTTGTTAAGAGCCAGGGGCGTCGGCAAGTATTTGACATTGGGGAGGCGAACTGCATCGAAAAGGGGGGTCCTGACCAACTTTTTGTGACATAAACTAAATAAAAGCTCTGAGCTGATGGAACAAATGTAAAACTTGATTTTACTTTGTTGTTTTACGACTCAATGAAATAAAATTTTACTTCTGTCGACTAGTGCTTCGCTTTAAGTGTATCCATGTCTCTAATGTATATTGGTTTAGTATTAAGTGCAGATACCACTTTGTGATAGCGTAATTTGAAAGAATGTAATTTCCTGTTGCGCAACAGAAGGATTGGGGGGCAATTAATTTTAATTAATATCTGAGCAATATAACAGAAAACTCATTTAGATGAAAATTACTAATTAACTTCACATTCCATAAAAAGTATTTTTCGAAAGTCTGTAACATTCCATTGATTCATGCAGCTTCAAATAAAATTGCGGTTCTGTGATTCTTCGGTTGTAATCGTACACTGGGGCTGTAAAATTACTATGCTTTTCTAGAATTAACCTTATAATACTAACATTGATCTACTTTTGGCATTCCTCAGAGAATACTAGTAATATCATATTTTTTATCATCATATATTATGCCAAACCTCTAAGTAATGGGGGCACCCGGGGATCGTAGTCTTCGTTAAGAATGACATCAAAAAACTCGTGTCTGAAAGATAGAAATCGGATGCCAATTATTACAATGTGATTTACACTAATTACTTTAGCCGTAATAAAACCAAAGGTCTATGATGAGACTGTACTCTACTGGCTTGCTCGTACGATAAAGGAAGAAAAAAAGAACTTGAGACTAATCAGCTTTGGGAACACTGATGAATAAAATTATAATGATCCTTAGTTTAATCTACTTGAAACTTTACTGAAATCAAAACCGAGTTTTCAGATTTGGGCAGATTTTCTTTTTCTTCTTGTCCTTGGTCATCTTGGAAATAAATATTCTGTCCTACCAGAGCATGAAAATAAATAATCTGACTTAACAAAATTTGCCATCCCACCATCTTTAAGAAGCAAAATGCAGGCAAAAAGGAGCCCAGTTTGTTTTGAGCACCCGAAACGGCAAGCGGTAAAACTAGTTCTATTGATATTCTTCATTCTGTTGTACAGAATCACTTCATTTATTTACACACTGAATTGTCGACGGATTTTTCCGTTATTTTCCGATCATGCCAAGGAGCACACGGCGGGTGTGACCGGTCGGCAGGGGATGCTCACTCCTCCATGGCACCTGTTCCCATCTCTGATGTCTTAGAGGTCCGTGTTTGCTCTGCTCCTATTTGTAATGTTTAATGGACATTTGAGCTCGAATACTTTCGTTATCTCTACATATTTCATTCATACTTCTGCCTTGAAATACACTGACGCATACATAAAAAAATGTCAACAATGTTATGTATAATATACTAAGTCAAGGTCTTTTGATTTCCGACTCCCTATTGTTCCGGATTGCGATTATTTATTAATATTCTTCATTTCACCAAAACGAATTGCTTCTAATTTCTTGAACATAATTTCTACGTTAAAGTTGGTTTTCACATACATAAATAGATCAACAATATATGATGACATCTGTCCAAAAACGGTAAAATCTAGTACTAAGATATAAATGTAGAAACCTAAATCGAATTTACCGAAGTGCTCAATTTGATTCGTAAATGCCACCATTCGTAATAATTTTATCTTTATATGAATTAAGTTTAACATAGTTAATGTGCCTAAAAAGTTTGAACCGAATCTGTATAGCGATGTGGTGAATATCGACCAAAAAGAGTCGGGCGTCGGCAGTACTAGATTTACTGCTTGACACCCGAAACATCTTTCTCGTTTTCAACACGATACAGACTAAGACCTGACCAATAAAATCCTTCGTACTGAAACAAATAAACAATCCCTCGGATACAATACAAATGACACATTATGGCATGCAATGCAAATGGAAAATACAGGATACAAATAAAAAATAAACAATACGAATGAATTTTTTTTACAAAACAAATGGAAAATTATACAATACAAATGAAAAAATATACAATACTCGATCACTGTTCGTTATCTTCACATTTTGTATTCATGCACAATTCTATGAATCGTTTTTATTTTGTTGTATTTCTATGGTTACGAATTTGAAATTTATAAGGAATCCTTTCAAATTAAAATGCTTCACCTCTGACAGTTTTTATTCGATATCAACCCAAATTGATATGTTAGTAGACTACTGTTAATTTAAAAAAAGTCTACCTATTTTTTTTTTTCATTTCCAGGGTGTTGCCATGGCTACTAAAAAAAAATTCTGTAAAATACGTTCAACATGCTCCTCTTCCTACAGTCTTTGTCCGATTTAAATAAAATCTGGTAGACAGGTAGACTTTACTTCGATACGATTTGTGCTGATATGGTTATTAAATGAAATTTCTGTTGATTGAATGCATATTTTTAAACATCCCATTCGAGAATTTTTATCACACAGAGAGACGTCACCGTATGCCGGTGGGGGGACTTTAAATTAAGACCTATATTCAGCACTCAGGGCCATTGAGCAATACAGTACTTTATCATACCAACGCCTACCGTGACACGAGACCTTGGGTTTTGATTTCTTATCCGAAAGTCCCGTGAGTTTCACTTCTAATGCCGGGCTCTTGGCGAAGGATCAGTCACTTCCTATGTGTACGTCTCAGATTCGACGCTGCGAACGACAATCGAACCCGGGCCTCCCGATCAGAAAGCAAATGCCCTACCATAGGCTACCCTGACCTTCTGTAAAATTATTTCTTAAAAAACGATATTCATCCTGCAGATTTGTTCCACGTTTTCAAAATTTTTGGAACTTAATCTTTACACATTAAAATTCGATGGATCGAGAGTGTTACAGTGCTTAAAAAAATAAAACAGTTTAAAAACTCTTGCAAAACACAACAGTTCTGGTCTGATTTCAATAAACCTGGTACACAAGTGTTGTTGCCATGGCTACTAAAACAAAGAGTTTTTGTTTTTTTTCCAGATTGCTTCTATTCCTACAGTTTTGATTTGATTGACTCCCCCCAGACACCTGATCCTTTCACTGGAATTTCCGGGGGATCCGTGTTTTATGCACTGTTCAGATTTCTATTGTTTGTAGATTTATTTTAGATCGATCACTTTTCGCTATCCTTTATTTTTTTTAATTGCAACAAAACTTGATACCAAGGTTATTGTAAAAATCAGGAATTATAATGCTGTAAATGTCAAATTATTAAAAAGGTTATGATGATACCTGTCTCTTCCTTTTATAGAAGCACATACCAATTAATTACAATCCCAAATGCTCCGTCTTTAATTTCTCTCTGAGTTTTTACATTATGAAAACTTACAGATCTCAGAAGTACAATTCTGACTGAATGAAAAATAAAACTAATTTTTAACAAGAGGCCCATTGGCCATAATGCTCACTTGAGTTACTTTAGCCCTGCTGTTCTTAGATTTAAAACGTTTTTACATTCCCATGAAAAAATTGTGACTCCTGAGTCAATAGATATGGCCCCACGCTAACTCTTAGGGTCTCTGAATCCACATACCTTGGGAATGCATCAATATCAATTTAAATAGCATGACTTTGCAGGTATGGGGAAGGAAATTATTTTTCTGCATGCATACATTATTTAAGCGTAGATTTTAAATTTAGCAAACACTAATCAGGGGTCAATAATTTGAAAACAATCCACAAAGTTTGGAATGTTTGCAAATTAATGGTTCTATGGTGCTTCTCTAGAAGATTTTTTGGAAAAAAAAATCTTATATAGTTTCATTGTTTCATGCAAAACTTTGACCCCTTATTGTGGCCCCACGCTACAACCATGGGGCAATAGTAGTACAGTTCAGAATCTACACTATCTCAAGAAGCTTTCACGTAAGTTTCATCTTTTCTGGTCCAGTGGCCCTTGATAAGATTTTCCCTATATATTTCAATGTAAACCGTTGATCTCTTATCGTGGCTCAACCATACCCCTGGGGTCCATAATTTGAACGATCAAGAATATACATTATTTCTAGAAGCTCTTGCTTTAATTTCATCTTTTCTAGTCTACTTTATCCTTTTATCTTGTGGCCCCATTCCTACCCCAAGGAGTCACGATTTGAACTATTTAGAATCTACAATTCCTCAAAAAGCTTCTTCATAAGTTGCACCTTTTCTTAATCAGTTGTTGAGAAGATTTTTAACAGATTTTTTTTCGTATATATATTTCATCCTCAATTGTGGCACCACCTAACCCCCGGGAGTCATGATTTGAACAATTCAGAATCTACACTACATCAGGAAACTTCCCCCACAAGTTTCACCTTTTTCTGGCCCTGTGGTTCTTGAGAAGATTTTTTGATGGCCCGACTCTAATTCTGTCTTTTATTGATTATCTCCCTTTGGAAGGGGACTTAACCCTTTATTTGGATAATTTAGAATCCTCTTCATCCGAGGATGTTTTCTGCCAACTCTGGCTAAATTTGCCCTGTGATTTGTGAAAAGAAATCTAAAATGTGAAAAGTTTACAGACGGAAGTCGGACAATAGGTGATCAGAAAAGCTCACTTGAGATTTCTGCTCGGGTGAGCTAAACACTTGCAAGTATTAATTTTTGTTTTCGATGCATTACCTTTAATATTCTCAAGACTACCGTATATACTCGCCTATAAGTCGGTCCGCCTATAAGTCGGTTGTAATTTTTGAGGGTATTTTGGAGGGATTTTCTATTGACCCGCCTATAAGTCGGTAAAACTTTTCGCCAGAATCGGTGGACAATTTCAAATCAATGCTCTGTTTTAACATGTGTTTCAAATTAAATTTTGAGAAATTACGCCGATATATTATCTCTCTTTTTTCTTCTCTTATAAATTTCATATCAATACTCTAATGTATTTACCTGTGTTCAAATAATATGTTAGGATATGACATCGGTAATTAATATTTTTATTTTTTAACAAACCAAACCACTACCATTTTAGTTTTCTTTTTGTACTGTTTTGCTTAAGGACATACGCAACGTACCTTACCTACTGATAATTTTTCAAGATATTCTTAAGTTAGGATTATAGTGTCATCAGATGTTTGTAGACACAAAATCAGCATGCATTACCAGGGGTTTTGAAAAGATATCAATTGATGAAAATTCTTGTATAATTCAAAGAAAAATATACAAAAATTACTAAACATATATTCTAGATGTTTTGTTTATCCAAACTTATTTTAAAAGAAATGTACAACAGCATATATAGACTTTAAAATGTAGCACACAGTTCCTTTAATTATCGGAACTCTTCAACTCCAGGGAAAAAGACAATATAGTTCAAACTACGTTGCGTATGTCCTTAAGCGTCAAATCCCTTGTCTTGTATATTTTATACACCGATCTCGATCATAGGCGGATCTCGGTCTCTTTGGCATGGTGATGAACTATGTAACGAGTCTAGCAACATTTCGATGATATTTAATTAGGAGGTGCTCAATGTCCAAGCCATATCTATAGTTTTTAATGACGCTATTTTTTTTTATCTATTATTGGCAATTATTTTCTCTTAATTACCTGTATCCCTTACATGTACCTGACACCGTGTTTATTTAGTGGCACGCGCCCCGAGAAAATTGTGTACCACACATGGGAAGCGTTTTCATAAACAATCGAGT